ACTTCATCCCTCTAGGCTAAAGATATGTTTATTTATCTTTTGACTTGATAATGATATTAAAACCCATTGGCTGCATCATTCTGGCATCGGTTTGGTCTGATGTAGCAGTGTTTTGTGGGACATTCTACCCTATTTTCTATTGCGTTTATTGAGGACAGGGGGATGGGCTTTTCCATGTTACCTATTCTTCTCCAGATTTGATGTTATTTGTTTAAAGAAATTGCTGCTGGTACTTAAATCAGGTTCTGAAATTTGGCAGGAAAATTTAAGAAGACACCAACTTCTCTCACAGGAATTCACGGGCCAGGTAAGAGCAAAAGCTTTCCTACCCCTTCTTACAAGCATGCTTATGTTTTGTATATATTGATAGAGTCGACATGTTTCCATTTACCACAGTATCCGGGTGGTGAGATGTCCTTACCTTTGTTAATGGACGAAATGCAAGGCATTCAACCCCTGTTATGGCTTCCCAACTATGGGACTCAACAGATTACTTTGCCAAATGAGCCTAACTTTCTGCAACCAGGGTGAGCCTACAATGGATGAGATTAGTTTACGAATATCTGCTTTTTATAATCAATATATGTAATGTGTGAAATAGTTTTCTGTAGACAAAATTTGAAAAATGCTGTATGATATGTCTGTTTATGTGGGGGGTGATCATGTAGCCTTGAACTGAATTTATGCTGGGGAATGTGTGCAGTGATGTTGAATGCTCATTTCCAAGCTATCCCAGTTACTACAACCCTGGGAAGCAAATTGAAGCTGGAGTATCTGGTCAAGTTGATAGCATGCCACAGGGTGATGGGGGTTTAAATGAATTAAGTGGAACTTCTTGCTCAACACTGCAACTTGGTGAGCAATATCAATACCCCCCTACATGTGATGGTTCCAGCTTCCAAGATGAAAAGAGACTGAACCTTGAGATGGAGATGAATTTGCATGGAAATTATGTGGACAACCAACTAAATGGGAAGTTGGACCTCTCAAGATCTCTATATGATGATGAGCAGCATCCTTGGGGTTCTATACCAGGGCCTTGTAGCATTCCAATGTACCAAAGCAGCAATGCGTACCACCACCATGTAGGTTCTCTACTAACTGCTCCTTCTAAAACATAGTGTACTCCATATTTGTATCCACATTTGTTGTTCAAAAACTTCATAATTGACGATCTTTTTTTAATCAATACAGAATGCTATTATTGCTATATATACAGAATGGTCAGTATTGTTAGGATGCTGATATGAGGTGTTATCATGTTGTTTCAATTCATTGATGATTTCATGGCCTCTTGCAGCAACCAAATTGATTCCTACCAAATTTCAGCAGTGATTGAAGGGGTAACAGATTGAAGAGTTCCTCTTGATTGATGTGATCAGCATTTTTGTTGGGATAGATTCCTTCTCCCAAATGCCAGACTCAATTATTTGATCTATAACGAGATGAGAATGATCCTCTGCTCCTCGTTTTTTCCGTTAACCAATATACTCAACTTGTAAATACAAGATATACGAGATCAGAGGTTGGTTTTTTAGATTAGATTTTCTTTTTTTCCCTTTTCCCCTCGTGGAAGAGCTGTAAAATATTTGGGGTTTTCTGGTTTCCTTAGCTGTACATTGAGCTATTGTAAAACATGGAAGCAAATTTCATATTTTCTTTTATATCAAGTTTGGAGAAAATTAAAGATAGTCTTTCTTGCTTCTTCCCTACACTCATAGTGTTTCCATGTGTGCATTCACACAGATCACGTATTCTTGCACAGATTTTACAGCACAGATTTTACAAGTAATCAACTTGTTCATTATTTCATCTTTTCAATTATGTTGTACCCTCCATTAGAGGTAAGCTGGCGATGTTAAACCTGCGAGCCTTATCCTTTTATTTGCTTCAGTTGGTTGGGTTGAAGATCTTTGCTTCAGGGCAGGGATAGAAAAATAATTGAAACTTAGAATGATGGGAGATGGCATGGACTGGATGACAAAGGATATTAAAATAACAACAAAATTGAAAAGATTCCATACATATGAAGTGAGAAAGAGAATGATGAGATTACAAATATGAAAACCAATGGGCTGAGGATGGGGGGATTCTTGGAATTGGCAAACCATAGTTCACACTTAATGATAAAATAATGCACATAAATGAAAACCAATGGGCTGCATTTACATAACATCTTTTCTTACATCAAAATATCCCGCCACAAAATAATAATAACAACTGGGATGAATGATTTTAAGACATGTGGGGCTACAGACTTCAACAAAGATAGAAAATTCGTGGACATTTCTATGTGCCATGTGATACTGTTAAGAAACAAGAAGGGACATAATAGTGGTTTCACAAGAGAAATGACAAGTACGTGAAAACTCAAAACTGTGATGTCTTGGCAAAAAAAAGAAAAGAGTACTTATCCAAATATTTCAAAGATGCTGGAAACGTGAAATTATTGGGAGTCAGTAATCCCGATATTCCCGTTCTATCCTTATAGACTACACCTAATCAAAACAGTGATCCAACTTGCATGACGAATCAATCACTAATTATCCTTCATAAACTAGATTTTTTTAGAAAAACCCACCTCCCAAAACCCGGAATCTTACTTTCTCTCTCAATCCTCCTTCCGTTTCTGTTCAAAATCGTCAATCTTTTGGATCAAATGGATAAAGTTCAATCCGAATCAGACTGCCCCACTTGCCCCTTTTCCTTCCTTTACATGTCTAACTCTTCCGCCTGCTTCTCCTTCCCCCTTCTCCCAACTTTTATTCAGGAATAAGAAACCTCCACGTCTTCCTTCTCTTTGTTTTCTCTGTTTCATCGCTTGTTTTTGGTCTTTTCTTGCATTTTCGGTTCAAACTTGAAAGATCTCAGGTGGGTTTCTTTCGCTGGTTTTGAGGGGCTTCCTCCTGGTTTTCGTTTTCTTGTTGCGTACTCGATTCTGCTTAAACAGAGATTAAAATTGGTGCCATTCTTTTGTGGGGCTCTTCTATTTTATGCTGACAATCTCTGGACGGCCGTTTGTTTTCTCTGCGCCATGGCTTGTTCGTTGAAGACTGGTCTCTCTGTTTCAGGGCTGAAGGATCGTTTGTGTTACTCTAATTCATCTGGGGTTTCTGGGTTTTCTACTTCTGTTTGTGCTTCCAGTTTAAAAGTGTCAAAGCAGCCGGGGTTTCCTCTTTTGAGCGTCGATTTCTTGGGGAATCCTGTAGTGATTTCGGATCGAAATGGTATTAGAAACTCAAACGCTAAAGCCCCAAATAGACTGACCGTTTATGTAAGCCTTTTTTTTCTTTTCTCTCTCTTTTCTGAATATTCCCAGCTTGATTGTTACTGTTTCTTCTGTAATGTTCTGGCTCTGAAGTTGATTTCTGAATCGACTCGTTGTTTTAGGCACAGGCATCGATTTGTGTAAGCCGAGCTCGGAGATGGTGGGAAAAAACCCTGAAACCTAACATGGTGGAGATCCATTCTGCACAAGCCCTTGTGGATGCATTGCTTGATGCTGGCGACAGATTAGCCATTATTGACTTCTATTCCCCTGGCTGTGGAGGTTGCAAAGCCCTTCATCCTAAGGTATTATCTTGTTGCTGCTTGGATTTTGGGCGCCTCAAATTGTAGAAATTTGTAATATATTTAGCTACCAATTTTGAACTGGGATTTTGGGATGTTGCTGATTGAATCAATTTGTAATACCAGATCTGTCAACTGGCTGAATTGAACCCTGATGCAATTTTTCTGAAAGTTAACTTTGAGGAGCTCAAAACCATGTGCCAAGCTCTCCATATTCGTGTTCTTCCTTTCTTTGATTCTATAGAGGCGGAGAAGGTCGTGTCTGTAGCTTCAGCTGTACAAATGCAACTGTAAGAAAACCGTCCAGATTTTCAAACTTTCGATGATAATGATAGAAACAAAGACGGAGGCTTACATCCTTTTTATTGATCTGCAGATTAAGAAATTCAAGGATGCATTGGCTAAACACGGAAGCGACCGGAGTAGCATCCTTCCAGCCAAAGGATTAGACGAGTCGGAGCTGGAACGGTTATATCTGAAGGAAAGAACATTGAAGGGTGTAGCGATGAAAGAAATGGATTGTTACGGTTCTTGGGGAACATCAGGCAATAAAATGGAAGTCATGGAAGAGAACAACATGATTCTTAAGGTGTGAAGGAAGCTATATAATGGGAGTAAGCCAAGCCAGATTGAAAGATCATACATGCTTTTGCATTTGTTTAGTTGATTTTTTCTTTCTTTGGTGGGGGGATTCTTGTACATAAGCAAGGCCTCTGTTTTTTGCTAGTGTGTGCCTTGCCCATTGCCCTGCTTTTGCCAATCTGTGAAGAACTGTAATTGCCTGTCTCTTTCAGTTTTCTAATACCACAGATGAAGCGTCAGTTCTTATTCTTTTAAAACACTCGAGTGGTCTAAAAGGTTAGTTTTTCGGGGTGCAATCTTATTATTAGGTTCGATATCAATATCAAAGCTACACCTAATTCGTTAATCTTCAATCAAAGCTACTCAAATCCTACTTCTTGATGGTCACAAAATGTTGCTAATAAGTTAGGGAAATGAAACTATACAGAAAAAGTGTCAAAACTAATAATATACATCATTATAATGGTAATGGTAAATCCAAATAGATTACCACGCACGTACTCCACGTGTCACGTGGGTTCCAGCTATACCCCCCAGATCCTGGAACTGACGTGGATTAACAAATTTCCAACTCATCATGGCCCCACATTTAAGCATATGATTCCATTATATAATTAGTTCAAACTAAATATTGACATAATTGATTCATTTGTAAAATGGGATAGATTAGCTGTAACGTGGCATACAAGTGGTCCACAGCGAACATCACATTTACTTCCACAAAAAGTTTTAAAGAATAGTTAAGAAATAAAAACTTGAAAAGTGTGGTGAATTGAGAAATAAAAAAAAAAAAAGAAATAGATATGAGCGACCAAAATGTAGAGCAATAGTTTGAAGAACAAGCTATGAATTGAGATGGTCAATGGAATTTGGGAGCTCACCTTTTCACACCGGCTCATCTTACCAATCCACGCGACGTTGAACAGTGGATGCCGTCCTGAAATTTCAACCCCCAATTCCAACGCGGCGCCAAACCTATGCACCATCCCTCACTTGGATTCAATATATTTCGGTGTGCCCTCCTGCTCTCCTTTTTTGCAAATCCCATATCCTCATCCTTCCTTTTATACCCGATTGTCTCTCCACTTGTTCCTCGCACCATTTCCATTTTCACCATTTCTTTCTGTATTTCTCCTTACATTCAATGGGTAGGCGCGGATTGTTCGACCTGGAGAGGCATTTTGCGTTCTATGGGGCTTATCATAGCAACCCAACAAATATATTTATCCATATTCTCTTCGTCTGGCCAATATTCTTCACTGCTCTCATGCTCTTCTACTACACCCCTTCCTTCTATTCTTTTCCCAAATGCCCTTGCGGCTTCAATACTGGCCTCGTTTTGAATTTTGGTTTCTTGTTCGCTTTGGTGTATGCCATTTTCTACATACTTTTTGATAAGAGAGCTGGATCTCTGGCTGCTGTTATGTGTTTTCTCTGCTGGGTTGGAGCAAGCGTTTTCGCTTTTAAACTTGGATGGACGCTTACTTGGAAGGTAAACGCTAAACCCCACCTTTTTTTCCCTTCCTCTTTTGATCCTTTTTTGTTTGTTTTATTCTTTGTCGGATAGGAATCACAATTTAATACTTCACAGATCTTACAATAACCCTATTTAGGTTGTCTGGTTTCTGCTCCAATTCAATTATTTGAACCATTTATGAATCTCAGTCCCTGTAGTTCTATTCAATTTCTTATGGGGCCGGAACTCATAGTTTTGGTCTGATGTATGAAGGGCCGGCCATGGTGTTGACTAAGCTTCTATTGACTTTATGGTTGTACTAGACTACAATTTATTTCTCTTGGTACAGAAGGACAGGTTTCATTTTCGTAGAGGAGAAAGCTTAGTGTGGCATGAAAAAAATAAAATTAGAAAGAAGAAAGATATTTGTTCGAGCTTCTTCCTACTTTATGGTGGTTGTGGGAATTTACTGCTCCTATTTATTCTTATTTTTTCAGTTTATAATGATTGTGCTGCCAAATTCATTTGGTCTCGAACCATGAATATCTCAGCTCTTCGTTGAGGCATGTTTGAGAGTAGGTTTGATATGGTTCACCTTGAGTACCCTCCCAAGACATGCTTTTAACCATTTAAGATAAATTTTGATGGTATGAAAATTTGCATTTAAAAGTGGAAAACCAAATATTAAATTGATTTCGAATCATCAACAATATGTTTTACAATGGTTTTAAACATGATAGAAGTGATTTTAACCTTTCAAAATCGCTTATCAAACTCCATGTAACTTCTATCTTTATCATCAACACATTTTCTTGCTATTCTGTTTATATGATGGTGGTTTCTGGTTTTGAAGTTAAAGCAAAGCTAGTTAGGCCAGGTTTAATAACACTTTAATTTGGCAGATGTCTACAACATTTTCTTAGAAGTTAGAATACTGATCGATGTTGCTTTCCTTGGATCCGAGTCATCCTTTTGTCGTCCTCATCACATCTCCTTTTCCCTTCCATACAATTTTTTGAGAGGCTTGACAGCATGTTAATGTAATTGTAGTCGGCTAAACTTGATGGACATCAGTGTTGAGGACATTTTTATCCTCTATCTCAACTACTTTTTGTAAGAACTATCTCAAAGGCTTGTGACTCATATTTGGGATGAGAAAGCTTGCAGCTTTTGAATTTTGGATCAGTTTGGGGATTCCTTTTAGATAATGTAATCTAAGGCCACCTTTTGAAAAAAAGTCACCACCACTACATAATATGATTCACATCGTTTCCTTTTCTTCTTAAGATATCATAGTAACTTTGACGACCACAACCATTTTTGTGTTTGTGTTTGAGTATTCCTCGGCATATTCGGACCCTGTCATTCCATGTCCATAAAGTTTTGAGTACTACTTTGCAAATTATAACTTGTAGCAAACCTAAGGACTCTACAGAACATGATCAAGTCATTGCAGAATCTATAGTCTCAAGCATAAAGCTAAAGCTGGTTATTTTGTAATTTGATATACCAGGTGGTGTTGGCTGCACAGTTGTTCTGCTGGACAAGTCAGTTTATTGGCCATGGGGTGTTCGAGGTAACTAGTTAGTTAAACATCTTAAACATGAACTTGTTTTTCAACCTTAATTCCTGATGGGTTTTGGTTTGATTTTGTAGAAACGGGCACCCGCTCTCATTGACAACCTTGCCCAAGCTTTTCTAATGGCTCCATTCTTCGTTTTGTTGGAGGTTACCTTTGCTGAAACCGTGCCCTTCTTGGATCAACAATGAAACATTTGAAAATGTAACTAATTTGTTAACTATTTGCAGATTCTTCAAGCTTCGTTCAAATATGAACCATACAACGGTTTTCACTCAAGCGTGAAGGCGAAGATCGAAGCCGAGAAGAAAGCTTGGGAAGGAAAGAAAGAAAAGAAAAGCTCTTAGCTCGAATGGAATCCCTTCTTTAGATGTATAAATACGTATATCAAGGTGTGTGGTTTTGATTTGGTTTGTGTGGGAATTGTGTAACTGCGAGCTTCAAATGTACTTAAAAAGAATTGTTGAAGTAGTGTTTGTATTTGAATAAGATTAGAAAGCTCCTGATCTCACAACCCAAATGTGGGGATTGGTTTTACATTCTTCTGTTCACATCAGAAAAAGGGTGCCGTATAAGTATGGGGAATATTTTCATTTTGTGCATTCACACCATTATTTTAGTTGATGGATATTTTTGCTTATAAGCTCGTTGTTTCACATTATTATTTAATATCTCTTTTATAACCATTTTATCCTTAAAAAGCAGGATGCTTGGTCAATGCTTCAGATTGTTTTTTTTTTTTAATGTTGAGTGTTCATTTAAACAATGTAATATTATAGCTATATCATTAATCACCATAGTTAGCTGTTAGTTTAGGGTATTTAACACTATGAGTCACCAAATGGTTTGGCAGCATGCCACCGTTTGTGTTGAGTGAAATAGGGAAGGCAGGCGTGAGTATTCTCTTATGGAGCTTTACTTCCCTTCACTTAATGTTTCTCATTCTCCTCCCTTTTCTTCCACAATCTCAACTTCTCCACCTTTCTTCTTTCTCCTTTGTTTTTTTCTTTTTCTTTTCTACTTCCATTCATTTCTGTCTTCTTGCTTCTCTCTCTCTGTAATCTTTCTCTGTTTTTGTTTTCTACTGCCAGAAGCTCTGAACCCACCACACAACCTCAATCTACTTGGAGCTGAAGGACCCATCATTTTCTTTCCCACTTAAAACCTCTGTAATCACTCTTCCATTGGGCTATAAGTTTCGTCCCAAAGATTTTCCAGACAAGATATGGAAGAAAACATGACAGCCTCTGTTCATGACGAATCCCAGATTGTTTTGCCCCCTGGATTTCGGTTTCATCCAACTGATGAAGAGCTTATTTCTCAGTACCTCTGTAAGAAAGTGATGGACGCCAATTTCTCTTGCAAACCCATTGGAGAGGTCGATCTCAACAAGTCTGAGCCTTGGGATTTGCCCTGTAAGATCTCAACTTTTTCATACCCTTTTTCGTTCTTTCTTTGAAATTTACTCATTTTGTTGGCTTTTAATGTTTGGGGTACCTCAGGGAAAGCTAAAATGGGGGAAGGGGAATGGTACTTTTTCTGTTTGAGGGATAGAAAGTATCCCACTGGATTGAGAACAAACAGAGCCACTGAATCAGGGTATTGGAAAGCCACTGGGAAAGATAAAGAGATTTACAGAGGAAAAACGCTTGTGGGTATGAAGAAAACTCTTGTTTTCTATGGGGGAAGAGCCCCAAAAGGTGAGAAATCCAATTGGGTTATGCATGAATTCAGGTTAGAAGGGAAACCCTCTGCCGTTAACCTCCCAAGCACTGCAAAGGTACAACCTTCTTTTACAACTTTACTCCCTCTGAATCTTTTGAAATTACAGAGCTGAGCTATCTGTTTTTCTTTTTGCAGAATGAATGGGTGATTTCGAGGGTGTTTCAGAAGAGTTGCGGTGGGAAAAAAGTTCACCTTTCTGGGTTAGTTAAATTGGGTTCTTCTTCCTCTGCTCTGCCGCCATTGAAGGACTCTTCTTCGTCATCAATCAAGATCAATGAATTAGCTCACGTGCCCTGCTTCTCCAACACCATGGATTCTTCTCAAAGAACCCTACCCAAAATAACTGATTGTTCTTTCAATTTCTCTTGCTTTTTGCCCACCATTTTTCCGAGAAACACGCAGCCCACTTCGTTGTACAACCCCCAAGCCATCTCTCTCCCTTTAAATTTGCAGTTTCCAAACATGGCTGGAACATTCAAACCAGAGGGGGAAAGAATCAGTGTCTCACAAGAAACAGGGCTAACTACTGATATGAACAATGAAATCTCTTCTGTTGTTTCTAATCTTGAAATGGGTCGATTGGCATTTGAAAATCAGGACAACCCCTCTGCTTCAACCGTGCCAATGAACCCCCACATCGCGTGGAATTACTGATAAAATTAAACAAGGTCTGTTTTTAATTGACGCATTATGTGTAAATGACTATTTTGATGTTAGTTTTGGTGTTACGAAAGTGAGGTCGGTCCCGTACTTCAATGGCTTCGATGTTATGTGGAGACTTATAGGTTGAATATCAATATGACAAGGATAATGGATCTCTATCTCCATCTTCTTGCCAAGTACGTGTAAGTTTATGTGATAATGGAATGATTACGATTGAGATTGTGTTTTATTCGGCTCGGTTCAAATATTAGATATTTATATCATGTGAGAACGAGACAAGTTTGAGTTGTAGTTATGATTAGTTTTAAGAGTTCAAATAATGTGTAATTATACAGGAACGAGACAAGTTTATAGTGATTACTTGCACAATCCATTTTCTCACCGATTTCAATCCATATCCATTTATTCTTAAAGTGGATGATTTTATTGAGAGTTGTAAAGCACTCACAAGCATATATATTAGTGGTACCTTTTAACTTTTTCAACAATCTAATCGTATAGAAACTATGTTAGGTTAAATGCACAAACTTGAATCAAAATATATGCACCACATCACACTATGTTCATTAACATCGGCAAATCTAACATATTTCATCTCTCTAATTCAATAATGGAATGGGAACTTGTTCAGTACAACAGTTTCTCAAAACAAAAGCAGCAAAATCAATCCTGTTGATCAACCAACTTAAGCCCCCAGGCCATGTCCTCGCAATGCCTCACATGAGGAACAAGTTTGCCAGTGTCCACTCCTTTCTTAGCCTTGCAGTCATAGAAAGGAGGTGCATGGAAACAGGGCTCCATGGACATGGCTCGACCGCAGGGTGGATTCGGTGCAGTACGATTCTCGGGTTTGTACAATATCCATGGTTTCAGACCGCCAAGACCTTGAGCCACATATCCAAAGGTCGACCATGAACTAGTGACCACTACATTAGTTGTACTTAACAAATACATCTCTGCCAATGCCTTCTGGTTATGTATACTCTTCTCAGTTTGCTGGTGTTCCTCATGACTTGGTTGGTAGAAACTAACTCTCTCTCCCGTCACCGTCGGATTCTCCCAGTAAATATCTCTCAACTTCTCGAAGTAACCAGCGGTCAAGGAAGTTATCAGCACGGCCTTTGACTTTCGACTACTAGCCAGACCGACCACATTTGTTCGCCTTTCCGTTTGTGGCAACAGATTCTCCTTCAGGGTACAGTCCAAAACCTGATCCAAGATGTGTTGAAAAGGTCCAGTTCCTGTATCAAACACTCTAATCTGAATGCCTATTCTTTCACTAGCTCTAGCCAAGTAAGCCTGATAATATCTCGTAATCAGTCCCCAAACTGAATTCACGGGATGAATCAGATATCGACCCAAGAAGTGGAAAACTGTATCTTTATTTGGGAAAAGATCATGAAGTTCTTTCTCGAATGATGGGATCAAAAAGAGAGAGGGGACAAAATAGTTGTCTGTTTTCATAACAAGCCAAGGGGATTGGTGCAGAAGAGATTGGTGTTGATCACAGAAAAAAAGCTTGTCATCATCATCATAATCATGGACCAAATGAAGATAAACAAGAGATGGCAAAATCATTCCACTTGGATCTGTGCTCCTATTGTTCTTCATTATTTTCCCATAGCAATTAGGAGAGTTGTGGTTGAATTTGCTGAATTTATGTTTCAACGGGAAATCTTGGGGCAGAAACCAGGAAACCTCAGGAAACGGTTCACAGAAGAGATCAGCCATGTCAGTTCCAGGGTCAACAAGTAGAACCCGATTTGTGAGGAGAGCATAAAGAAATGCTGAAGCGAGGGTTAGTATTCTATTCCCTAATCCACTGAAGGAAATCCACACAACATATTTACAGTCCGAGGAGCTGCTACTACCATTAGACCCAAGCTGCTCCAAAGTTTTGTTGTAAGACTCAGTGTAGACTCCACAACGCTTATGAAGATCTTCATAACTCCGCAATTTGGAGATCAGGTAAGAAGAGGGTTGGTACGCCAGCTTGCGTTGATATGAAGCTGAATTGTACCTACTAAGACAAGAACCTTCCTCATGTTTGGCAGAAAGAAGGCCACTAAGCAGTTTATCAACTGCCTCTATATCCCTATGAAGATCTCCATCCTTAGAATCTACTGAAAGAAGACAATAAGAGGAAGATAGCTGACAATGTAGTATGCAAATGAGATAAAAGTAGGGGCAAGTAAAAGGGCTGCATTTGTAATAAACTTGGTGCACTGCGAATCCAGCCGTTGTCAGAATGTTTTTGGAATGCCACATTAAGTCGATTGCCACAAAATTGCAATCATTTTGGGAGCTTAAACACTCGGTGTAGCTCTTGTAGCACTTGACACACACACACACACACAATGAACTGAAGGCAATTCAAACTGAAACTCAGAAGGCAATGACAAAGTATACTATTGCGCAAAACAATGTCTGAGATACAGAGCTAGAAGTTAGTGGCAAAAGGCATGTAGATTTACAAAAAGTTAAAAATCAAGTACCTGGGTCGGAGTTCCACTGAGGAATCCACACATCTGAACCTTCAATTACAGCATCGGATGGTGGGTCTCTAAGAACCACAGAGACAGAAAAGACCACAGAAATGAACATCATTAAAACCGCAAACATACCCATTACTCGAATCGAACTGAACCCACATTTCATTTCCTGGTTGTTCTTCAAATCGCTGAGCGGATCCTTGTCCCATAGGTTCTTGTGATCATCCTCAGTGTGCCTCATCAATCTCCTAATACTTGCATGATTTTCATCTGGGTATGAATTGAATGAACGGTTAGTGGATTTAAACTTCATTTGGAGCAAAAGGGTGGTGAAAACAGATGGCTGCAAGAGGACCTTATGGAGGTCGCCGAATATCTGTTGTCTTGGTGCAGCCAATAAACCGAAGAAATAAAGCGACTCGTGAATCGGGATCTATCTTTTAGTGTCTGTTCCGGCTTGTCGGTGTTGAGAAGCTTTGTGATCCAGTGATTCAAAACTAGAATCTTTGTGGGTCTTTTTCCAATGGAAAGTCGAACCACTTGGGCAACTAATGTTTTGATTAACCTTCCACATAAATTGCCAGAACTGTCTAATAATTACTCATTACTCGTTACTTCAATTTAGAAAAAGATAACTATCCAAACTGGACAGAGAGAAGAGAATTATTTCTAACAGTAACAACAATCTCCTGTTGGAATGTTTTTGAAAATTTGTACTATTTCTTTTTCCATACTTATAAATACCAATCTTGGACACCAATATGATATAAATTAATGATTTATATCAACCACTCGTCATAAAAGAGGTAGATCCGAACTTTTAACCTATTGATTGATAGCATATGTTATTTTTTAGATCAAGAATGGATGCAGAAATGTTGTAGGGCTAAAAATATAGAAATTAAAATGAAGTTCAGAAACTATAATAAATAAATAAGGTATGGAAATAGTATTTTGAAATTAAAATTCATGAAGAAAGAAGTCAAAAATCTAAAATTTATCGTCAAAAGAAGACATTTGAATCTCTCGCTCTCATGTCAGCAAGATAGAAGGCCAAGCATTGGCGATAAGCAATCCCTGAATTCGTACCGCTCTCCTCATCCACTCATTTCTTTTATCCATTTTTTAATTCATTGCTTTCCCATTTGTTGTTTAGATTTGGTAGTCTTACATTTTTCATGCTGGAGGGAACGAGAGCGGAACAACCCATTTTCATTGTTTGAATCTTTACCTAACCTTTGAAACCCGGAAAGGGTTCTTCGGTCGATACTCCAAAATGGCTGTTGCTCCGTTATGTCAATCCACTATGCAACCCCAGGTGAGTGGCTTTATCGGAGGCCTCACTTTTCAGAAACCAGCTCCTTCTCAACCTACCTCTCTTCCCTTTTCGAGGTAAGATTTATGGGGTGCCCTCTTTCTTATTCTTCCGTTCGATTACTTTAAGCCTCCTTGTGGGCTATGGAATCAGTTTCACAGCCGTTGCAAATCCTTGACTGTATATGAATTATAGTTTGTACATGGCAATTGATGCAGCTTTGACTTCCCCTTTGTCTTCTGGTTCATAATCACGGTATGAGGTGATAATTTAGCGGTCTCTTTAAAACTCTGAGATTGAACAAACGAGCTTTATGGATTTGTGTATTTTCTTTGTTATCTATGTGATTCGATTTGTGGGTTTTGAAATTGGGTAGATTTTGGGACGACGCCCATTGCGATTTTTGGTTCCACTTCCAACCCAGCTAGATAAAGATTTGCCGATTGTCTCCCACTTTGTACTCTATTTTTCTTCTGTACTTTCTGTGTGGATGGAGAAATGGATTATATTTATGAACAACTATTTGGTATCCAATTGAATTTTGTAGGAGGAGGTTCAGAAATGTGGTAAAAGCTTCAGCTCGGGTTGATAAATACTCAAAATCTGATATAATCGTCTCTCCCTCCATCCTCTCTGCTAACTTTGCAAAATTGGGAGAGCAGGTTCTCTTCAGTGTTCTAAACTTTCCGTTATTTTAGTTTGTTTTGCTGTGCACTTCCCCGAGTAATTTATACAATTGATTGACATTCTCATCTTTGGTAGGTGAAAGCAGTGGAACTGGCAGGTTGTGATTGGATTCATGTTGACGTAATGGATGGTCGTTTTGTTCCAAATATCACAATTGGACCTCTTGTCGTTGATGCTCTACGCCCTGTGACAGATCTTCCTTTAGATGTGCATTTGGTATGCTTCTTTCTCATTTTGATTCCCCTTGGTGTTAGCAGTGATTCTTAAGTGCTTCTGTTAACATAAAGTCAAAGCACTGTAGATGATTGTGGAGCCCGAGCAGCGTGTGCCAGACTTTATAAAGGCTGGTGCCGATATTGTCAGCGTTCATTGTGAGCAATCTTCCACAATCCATCTGCACCGTACCCTTAATCAAGTAAGATTTCCTCCTCCATAACGTGTACAACAAGATATATATACAAATGAAAAGGAAATGCAAAATCCAACATGTAGTTTACAACAATAGAATATGTAGTTTAGTGGTGTATGGCTGTTTTCTTGATTTCCTTTTGCTTCATTCTACAAAGGATTGCTTGCTGAGTTGGGAATCAAAATTGCATATATCTTTATTTATTCATAATGGCCATTCCTTTAAATATGATTCAGATAAAAAGTCTTGGAGCTAAAGCTGGAGTGGTCCTAAATCCTGCTACTTCACTCACCACAATAGAATATGTCCTTGACGGTGACTCCCTCTCTCTCCCCCCATATGTAATTGCTCACATGTTCCACTGCGACCATTATTAGAAAGAGTTGGAATGTTTGGAATGATGTTATCTGTTCTTTGGTGTTATTTTTAAGAATTTTGACATGAATTTAGGGAAGAAAAATGACCATATCTATCTTGGAGGTTAACAATTCCCTTTCCCTGTTTACAGTGGTTGATTTAGTCTTAATTATGTCGGTAAATCCTGGTTTTGGTGGGCAAAGCTTTATTGAGAGCCAAGTGAAGAAAATCTCAGAATTAAGAAGATTATGTGCTGAAAAGGTACAATTTCCCTCTTCGCTAGCTTTTTCCATCACTTGCAAACATTTCATTTGCTTTGTCGCAGGGAGTGAACCCATGGATCGAAGTGGACGGTGGAGTCGGTCCTGGCAATGCATACAAGGTGCATACAGTAACATTTCCCAAAACAGCAACTTTTATTACATGAGTTTCTAAAGCAAGTTCTGGATTGCCACCCTGATTGCAGGTCATTGAGGCTGGAGCCAATGCCTTAGTTGCAGGTTCTGCTGTTTTTGGAGCTAAAGATTATGCTGAGGGTATGATCCATACACTTCCTTCCACCCCTCCCTCTCACATTTTAATTAAATTATGCCCTCAACTCCATTCTTGAACAGCCATAAAAGGAATCAAGACAAGCAAAAGGCCCCAGGCAGTTCCAGTATGAAAGTGACTTGTACAAGATCTGAATTGCTTCAGCTGATAATAGTATTGTTGTGTTATTCATTGCCATGTAAGTTGTTCTTTATGATTTTGATAGATAGTATTCTGCTGCTACGATGCAACCTGGTCTTACCACTTGTTTCTTCTTCTAAATGCAGAGAGAATTTGCAGCTGCATATATCAGAAGGTTGTGTTCTTCAAGCTCTTATCTCAGACATGGTTGCCATCTCCACAGAAGAAGCCTGTAGATTGCCACTTGAAGATTTGTTATGTACCTATAACATCCGAGTACAAATTCGATAATATAAACTTGGGAGAAATATCTATTGTCCAATAAAATCTTCTTCTTAGGATATTTTAATCCTTTATTTTTTTTTAAAACTTATTTTGTCTCTAAATTCACGACTTCAAACGGTTTATGAGCATTTTAGAAGAATTGCAAAGACCATACAATATTTAAAAACAAAAAAAAATCCTCAACAACCATTTTATGAATTAGAACAGGTCTGAAAGTACCTCCGATTAACTTGGTCCAACAGGTATGTTTGAACGAAATTGATCAATTTATACGCACATGGTGGAGGGGATTCTGATATCGAGCGTGCGCGTTACATGTTTGATGAAATGCTTGACACAAACGTCGTGGGTTGGGAATTCCTTGCTCGCAGGCTGTGTTAGACGGGTTGATTTTGATGGGGCTGGAAAAGTTCTGGGCGAGGAATGTCCCGACATGGACTACAATGGCTGCAGGGTTTGCCCAAATGGCCATTGTAAGCTAGCTTTGTCCCTACTTAATCAAATGAAAAGGGCTGGCGTTGGTGGGCTGCATTGTCAGCTTGTGCTGAATTGGGATACTTCACAGTGGGAAAATGGATTCATAGGTATGTTGAAAGAACATGGCGAAGGAGACATCCGCAAGCATTGGTATCTCTGAGCAATGCTGTGATCCATATGTGTGCAAATTGTGGTGTTCTGGATGAAGCGTATGAAGTGTTTGAAGAAATGCCCCAATGAAACACTTTTGTCTTGGTCTAGCATTATCACTGGGTTTGCGGAACAGGTCTGTGGAGAAGAAGCCAAACAATGCTGTATGGGAGCAGTTCTAAGCAGCTGTAGAATTCACAACAATTTGCTTTCGTAGTCGATCCCAGGAACCAAGTTGCTGGATGCTTCATGCTCCTAGCGAAGCCTGGGTGGAGAATGAAACCTTTATTTTAGCCAAGTTGTACTACCTCTTTGTTTTATACTCGATTTAACAAAAAAAATAATTTTTTATTTTAAAAAACGAAGCTTGTGAACATCATTTTCACTTATTTTATTATTATTATTTTTTTTTTTGTGTTATCCAATTTTTACTGATATTTAAAAAAATCAAACCAAAATTTAATCAAACTTAATATCATAAATAAACCGTATGCAGCGTGAATTACCATACCCAATCTCGAAAAGTTTTATACTTTTGAGAAAAGGAAGAAAAAAAAAGTAAAAGAGAGAGACACGTGGGCTGACCTGGCTGGACACTGCTGGCATGCCACGTGGATTGCCAACACTTATGGTCCTCCAATGGCAATAGCAAAATTTAGAATATTTATGAAAGGAATAATTTGGTGAGAGAAAATGGAAATGGGCAATGGGTCACATTTCATTTGGTTCATTGGAGAAGATCTGCAGGTGACGTGGCTTCTTCGCCATCTCTACATAACTATCCAAACCTCACCATTTCAATATCCCCTTTTGCACTTTTTTAATCTTTCCTCTCTTCTGGTTTTGCCTTCGCTATCGTGAGCTTCAGCTTTCATCAATCTCATCCCTCCATCCCCCACCATTTTCGATCAACGCGGTGCATTTTAGCCTCAGAAGCTGATCGAGCTAAGATATTTGTTTTTCCGAAAAGAAGAAAAAATTTAGAAAAATATTAGAAAACACACAGAGACAGAGCAAAAGCTTCGTAGATTTTTATCTTCTTTTGCCTTCGCTTGCGGCTCGCCGTAAACCCCCGGAAGAATACCCATCCAGACGTCTGCTAACATGCGCTTTCTCCGGTGAAGCGGTTTTTCTTTTTTTTTTTTTTTCCCCTAAATTTTTTTTTATTCATTTCTGGTAGTCACGTTTGATCTTCGCCTCTCCGACCTCCCGGAAGCATTT